ATATTTTTTTTTTAATTTCTTTGAAGAAAAGGATGCAAAGAAGTGTAAAATACATAAATTTAAAGCATTTAATTACTTGTAATTTTAAAGTATGACTCGGGAATCTCGCTTCACATAGTACTTCAAAAATACATCAACCAAAGGCTCCACAAAAACATGTGAAACATAAAACAGTGAAAGCTACTGATGTTAATGTATATTGAGGAGCTAACCTTAATAAAAATCGAGTACATACATTATGTTATTTTCGATTTTAAGTTAATCACTCTTGAAGTTGGCCAATCTATGTGATACACGTGTTTGCTTTTTACTGGAAAGAGGCGGTACGACATAGAGAAAGACTAAGAGCTACGGCTTGCTCGTGGGTGTAGCTAATAACACTTCGTAATTGAATCATGTAAAGCTTTCTCTGTTAGTTACAACAATAATCAATGAGTAGAAATGACAATAGAGTTGTCGAGTTGTTCAGCATAATGGATTTAAGTTGGAGTAACTATTCAATGATGTAAGACATTTAGAACAAGTTTAATTAAGTCCATATAAATTCAAGATTCAGGTTTGATTTGATTCTATATTGGAAAAGTTTTAGGGCAATATTGAATTAGGTTGTAAAATACAGTAAGGCCACGTCGACATCTAAACATATATTCCTAAAACCAAACCCGGCCCAATGATGAACAATCTTTCAATGTCGTGATTGGATGGGTTAAATTTATATTTAATTCATTACATTTCATAAACTAACCCTATTCTTAGTCCATTTATCCAAATCATAACTTATTTTTCTCTTTTCGTGTACACATAGTTTTTTTTAATTTTTTTTTTTATAATAATATTAGTAATATTAGATATTTACTTTTCATCTTTAAATTTAATTGTTTAAATCCCAAATTTCAGTTTTTTGAATGATAATATTATATACCCATATAGTTCGGATTACATCAACTGTTTTGTTAAAATTAAAACCTCACACACTTATTCTAGATAGAATGATAGGAATTTAAATTTTATAAGAATGTTAGAGAGTTGTTCGGTTGCTATTAACTTGTTAATTGTGTTAATTTCTCTGACAATTTTGATTGTATGATAACGCTATTGAATTATTGATTCATCTTTTTCAATTCAATTAGGACATGTCTAATGTTCGCCTAACTCAATCAAGTCTAAGGCAACTAGAAAACAACCCGATTGATTTGATCTTCGGCAAGTTGAACAGATGAAATCCCAAGGAAATGATTCTTTTTTTCGTTTCCCTTAAGGCCTAAACTAAAGAAAATGATATGGAAATAGGTGGCTTAAGTTTCAGTATTATATGTGTTGAACTGTATCCTCAAATTAAGTTTTGTGCCTTTTTAGTGTGAATTGGTTCAAAAAATAGAATTGGATCAAAAAAAAGAAAAAGGTATTGAAATATTCTTGACTTTCCTCAAATATAAGGGTCTGTTCACATTTAATGAAATGAGCTAAACTGAATTAATTGGAGCTAAACTGAATATTTTATAAGAGAGGGAAATTAGGAGCTGAAATGAACAGAACTGAGCTGAAATGAATATTTTATGAGAGAGGGAAATTAGGAACTGAATTGAACTGAACTGATTGGAGCTAAACAGAACTGATTAGAGCTGAACTGAACTAAACTGAAATTAATTAAGTAAATGTGAACAGGCTCTAAGTGTCTAATTTATATATATGTTTTTTTCATCAGTTTAGATTGTATGTATAAGTATTTTGGTTATACTTAATAATCTATGTGTAGTAATTTTTTTAGGACTTTTTATGAGAAACTACATATTAAACGTCAATTTTTGTGAGAAACTACCTAATTAATAAAATGTTATAAGTAACCACCTATTTAAATCAAAATGTTGTAAAAGAGTACCCATCTCCAAATTTCCACCTTTGACTAATTTCTCCAACGTTGACCATTTGAGTTCGGTCACGTAACTTTTTAAAAGTTTTTTTTCCTCTTTATTTCCATGTCCCACCGGCAGTGCCACCTCCTCTCCATTGGCCACCACCACACCATTTTGACCCATCACTACAACACCCTAACCCACCTCAAAACACCCCAAAACCAACCTCGTGTATCCCCAAAACCAACACAAGCCCTTACTCCTTCACAATTCATCGTTGCAGCCATCACCGCACCACCACACCACGACTCTACCTCCTAGCGCCACCAATAATAACACCAGTACATCCACTCTTTCTTACTGTACATTGCAGCCCATATGTCACGAGGAGCCTTGCTTCCGTGCTCCCCCACCAAGGCGCAAGTAGTAGCCACACCAGTCACCATTACATTTCGACCATTTTTGGCACGCTATTCCAACAACATAGCACAACCAAGGCATAAATTGTAGCAATTTCAGCCTGCAAAATGTTGAGCCCAGAAATAACCCACATGTGAGCATTCTCTTGTCCCACGCTAAAACACTAAAAAGGGGGAGTGTAGTATTGTATTGGTAATGGAATCCCACATTAAAAGAATTCAAGAGTTACCACCACAATATAGGGCTAAGAGGCTACTCCCCTCATTGCCATATGGTTTTGAGGTGAAACCTCCTTAATCTTGTAAAGTGGTGGACTTATACTCTCTCGTGACGGGTGTGGCCCAGACCCGTATCTAACATGGTATCAGAGCCAGGTTCACGATCTCATGACTGGAGCCTTAATGGCTAAACTATACCGGGCCAAAAATTATGGATAGTTCACATGTGAGGGGGGGTGTTGAACCTAGAAACAACCCACATGTGAGCATTCTCTTGTCCCACACTAAAACACTAAAAATAGGGAGTGTAGTGGTAATGGAATCCCACATTGAAAGAATTCAAGAGTTACCACCACAATATAAGGCTAAGGGGCTACTCCCCTCATTGCCATATATATGGTTTTGAGGTGGAACCTCCTTGGTCTTGTAAAGTGGTGGACTTGCACTCTCCCGTGACGGGTACGGCCCAGACCCGTATTTAATACAAAATCAGCCCAAATTTATAAAAAAAATTATAATGTCAAATGGAAGCATGGGGAGGTAAAATGATGCAAGGGAAGCAAGAATAGAGAAACCGAGGGATATATGGATGAAATTGGGATGGTGGACACCGATTTGGGGGATAAAGGTTAGAATTTGGTTGATTTAACATCACGTGACCGATACCTGGGCGGTCAGGAGAATTGGTCAATCCGTAGTCATTTACAGCATTTTTATTTTTATAAATAGTTTATTACAACATTTTTTTCTCGCAAAAAAAAAATGTTATAAAAGGTAGTTTTGAAAAAAATAAAAGTCTTTTTTTAAACACTTTTGTAAAAATCATGCAATGTCTGTTTTTCCCCCGATTTGAAATTCCTAGCTCTCCCACTGCAAAAATTATGTGGGAAATTTTCAACCCAGCACCAAAGGAAGAGCACGAGGCTAATTTTCAATTTTTTTTAAATGAAAGCTAATTACAAACATAATGTAGTAAATAACTGAATTTTCAATTTTTTTAACAAAGGCATATTAATTTTTAAAACAACTTTTTTTTTTTTTTTTAAATAACAACATTTTTTTCCCTAATTTATGGTTATATTCATTAAAAAAAATTATGGTTATAAAAATAGCTAAAATATTTAGATAGGTTATAATCTCTAAAATATGAAAAAGACTTTTTTTCATATATTCCCTCTCCCAAATAATGCCTTCTAAATCTCACGATCAAATAAAAAAGCTAAAATCATCTTTAAGTTCATTTTTTTTTAAAATTTATTTTTCACAAATACAAAATAAAATAAATTCATCTTTAACGTAAACAAAAGCCCAACTTAAACAATGACATTGCAGATTCAAACTTTAATAATGGCGTATACTCAAAAAAATCATATGACTAATCAAAATTTAACACGAAATTACACATGAAAAATTCAATTAAGCACAATATCATACGATATTAGTCATATTACACAATCTTTTTAATCAAATTGTGTATACATAATTATATTATTTTTAATATCATAAATTAATATTGACCCAAAAATATGATGATTATATATTAATCTTATTAATATCATATATACATAGGTAATTTAAGAATGAGTTTTGGATGAAAAATAAAGGTTTAAAGTTCTAGATGTTGCAACTATTAATACTTTGTATGAGTTTTCCTCAAAAAAAAAATTGCTATCAATTTTATAATTTTTTTGGATTGTTGTTTATAATATTGTAATTTAGAATAAAAAATTACTCCCTAATAATAAGAAAACAAACAACACTTTGCTGACTGGTCATGACTTAAATGATATGTAAATTAGATATTTTAATTTTTCAAAAATATAATATGTAAAGGCTAAGCTTAAATAACAAACATTATAAACGGTTTAGATTAAATCACTTGGCGTAGTCGAAGTTAGTCATCTGTAGTCGCCTTAGTTGACGAATATATAAACTACTACTACAAAAAGCGTGTTTTTTAGACGCTTTTTAGGCCTTTTTTCGACGGTCAAAAGCGTCGCAAAAATATTTCTCGACGCTGCTAAAAAGCGTCGAGAATACGTGAGTCGAGAATTTTGAAGGACACAAAAAAGCGTCGAGAATATCGACGCTTTTATGTGTCCTAACTAATATACGAAGTGTCGGAAAATACTTATTTCGCGCATTATCCAAAATTTGTGTAATTTTTTAGCGACGCTTTTTCATGTCCACATACTCAAATTTAGCGACGCTTTTTATTGTCTTACGTTTATTCGTGTAAGCCTATGGTATGGCGGGAAACTCTTGAAATATGAAAATGTACAATATGTAGACATTAGAAAGCGTCTAGAATTTTTTTTTAAAGCTTTTTTTTCTTTTTATTAAATTATTACCATCATACATACATTATAGTTATTTAAATTTATCATAAATAAGAGTATATAGTTAATTACCAAATTTATAAAAAAAAAAATAATCAACAATAATAAGAGTACGTAGTGAATTACCAAATTTATAAAAGAAAACATCAACACAATATAAAATAAAAAAATAAAAAAAACGTCGCATATTATAGTAGCTTGTCCCTAAATAAATACATCACTAATATAAGACTAAAAACCAAAATAGATAGATGATGGACTTATATAGTCGCTTGTTTTGATGCTCAAGTGTTCCGGCCTATTCTCTTGTTGCACCTACATTGCCTTTTCCAATCTTCAAAAAAAAAAGTATAAATTAGTACATTACATAATATAGGCTCAAGATTTAACATTCTGTATTCAAACAACTAAAAGACCAATGTATTATTTGAACCAGAACATACATTGCTGAGAAAACTACAATTTTCAGAGCATATTAAGGACTAGTCTACAATAGAAACTAATAAAAGTCTGTGTATCAACCAAGTATAATGAAGCACCATAATTATACCATGATAAATATCAAAGCATAAGATTAAACAATTTAAATGAGGTTCAACAAGTATATAAGTAAAGATAAACAACGACAAAGCTAATAAAAAGGATAATCGACGCTTACACACACACACAAGCTCTGAATTTCACACACACACACTCACAAGCATTTTGAATTTCACATTTGATTTCAATCTGATTTTCAGTTCTGAATTCAGTTCTGGACTTCAGCTCTAAATTCAGTTCTGGATTTCAGCTCTGAATTCAGTTCTGAATTTCAGCTCTGATTTCAAATCTGATTTTTAGTTCTGAAATTCAGTTCTAGATCCAGCACAGCAACAAAAGTAGACAAGTAGACAACAATAGATGCAATGGATTAATACATTAGAATAATGAGAAGACGGAGAGAAATAAAATATGGATTAATATAACACTTGCATATAGTGTCGTTTATATAAATTGTCTGCAGGCCCCTTAATACCAAAGCAATGGTGTAGAACTAAAAACAAAGTGTGTATAGTAATAATTAATGTAATAGTATTAATCACTATCTACATTATGCATAAATGAATCATAAAGTTGTTTACATAAAACATGGCAAAATGTTTATGACTTACAGATATGGATATCCATATAACATAAGGAAGTTAAATGCAAAAATATCAAGAATCCATACTCCATGCTCAAAAGGTCAAAAGTCATATTGATTAATTATATCCTATATTCTTATAAACAAAGAATGTGACTGCCGAAAGCTCCATTCAAGGTACGATATTGGAGATTAAAGTTTTAAAAATCAAAGCTGAATATAAGAAATCAATAAGCGGCAAGACATGAAGATATCAAGTGTAAGACAATGATCTACAATGTAATGCCGATTCTAAATAAATAGTTAATAGCTGCTCTTAATCTCAATGGCTTCACAAATAGCTAGTGTTCCAGCCTCAAATCTGAGCTAACAGAGTGGAATTTTAAATTAAGATCATACATAAACAAAAAAAACTCAATCATGGATATTGATAGTATGATATAAAACCTAAGAATGAATATTTCTTAATAAAAGCAACAGCTTTTGAAGCTAAATGTCACCTAAGCCAAATTTTATGCACATAATAAGTACTCATCTTTATTAGAATAAATCACCTTAAGTGTAGAGAGACTAAAGATAATTCATTTACAAGAATAAGTAACCTCTTACATGGAGTAAGACTGTAAGACGCCACCCCTTACTAAAAAGAAAGCGTTTTGGCTTGGGAAAATTAGTCATATCTCAAACCCCACCTAGTCACGTACTCCTTTTCCCATCTACCACAACCACAAATAAATAAGAATAACACCAATAAAATACAAGAACTTATCAAATAATGAGCATACATAAGACGCTACAATAAACAATACTTGCTCAACCAGTGCACCAAATCAATTCAAGGCATAATATTTGTCGAATTTTCTTACTTAAGCATGTCATACATATAATGGATTAATAGACATCCACTGAACTCTTTTGTCCAGTTATTAATACTCCCTAATTACCTTTTAAGTTTAATAAGCTATGTAGCAAAAGCAAAACCATTACACTAATTTAATTAATTTTAAAAAAATAGCTTTATGCATATGTATAAAGTTCCCAAAATATAGTCCCTCTTAGCCCAATTGCCAATGAAATAACTTTTGAAGATTTAAGAGCCCTTTATAACATCTATACCAAAGTTGCAATATGGTTTTTGGACCAGTTTATATTCATGTACTGTCTTCCTGATTGGAATTTGGAACATTTCATAAAAGCAAAAGCATGAAATGAGAGTCCAATTTTCGAAAACAATACAATCATCCAGAGACATACCCATAAAGGTTATAAATCAGTCCAACTTGGAATGAAAGTCAAGTTCTTGCATTCAACAAATGTCAGCAAAATAATCCATAATCTGATTAAATATACAACCTCATCCATTATCTTCAATTTAGGTATCGTTTTTCACTTTGTACCAAAACCTTAATAACAAAAGAATTCCTATATTCAATGAAAAACAATCTTTTTGATGAGACATCAATATTAAAACAATATAATTCATAGCAAAGTAATCTACTTCACCAATGTACACTAGAAGAACAATTATAGCACATATACGCCAGGAACAAATTCCTCCCCTTCCACACTGCCCACCACACAGCTTACTAGTAACCTTTCTCACTCTCTCTCAATGAATTACATTCAATGATTGTTAAAATGCAATCAATTTCCATGTTTTATTGATTTTCTAAACACAGATAAGCGCCGCTATAGACCCCTCTAGTATTCAATTACATCAAACTCCAAACAATCCAAACCCAATTTATGCAATTTCTGAACTCATACCAAAAAATTGCAAAACAGAATCCTAATTAACAAATTAACACGATACAAGATTAATTAAAGAGATCGAAATCGACCTTCATTCATACAAAGAATAAAAGAGGGCTAATTATTTGGAATTTTATTCAATTAGTAGAACAAAAAGAAACCCTAAAATATCTATCGCTCATGAATCAAACCCATTTATGACCATAATTTCGTGACATTACTTCTAAACACAATCTAAAGAACTCAATTTAACAAAACAAAATTTAAGCCATAGAAGAAACAAGGTACCAGAATATTATCGACAAAGATCGAAAGAGATGAAATTGAATGCCATTAAAGGCAAACAGAGATATTCAGCAAGCAAATGAGCAGTGCAAGGAGAACCAAGATCTGATTTTGACATTCATGACGCTCTAAACCTCATTGCGAATTTGGGATGAAGTAGAGTCGTAGAGAGGATGAATAGTAAGGGTTGAGAACTGAGAATTGAAAGGGGTTTCGTGTTTGCTTTGGGCGGTTATAATATTCTCAAATTAAATCTGAAATAGTGAACTGAGATAATTACAGCATGTGACTGGCACAGGCTAGCATTCTCGACGCTTTTTGGCGTCAAAAATTTATATCGACCTAAAAAAGCGTCCACAAAACACGCATATGGTATTTACCCACTAACACTGTTACCTCGGCGTCGAGGCTTAAGCGTCGAGATTTTACTCATTTTGTAGTAGTCTAGAAGCTGCACTTTCAATCAAGCAGGTTTACACCATTTTACATAGTATGTATAAAAGTCTACACACTAGTACACTACTTCTCGTGAACTTCAAGAGAACTCAGCGATACAATCACAATAGAAGATTATAAGAATACACCAGTGATTGCTTTAAAAATGGAGTTGATATTTTATTCATATCAACAAGATGAAATCTTTAATCGAGACCAAAAAAATTGAGATAAGCTAAAGCTAAGAAGCAATACAATAAAACATTGCAAAAACTGATGGTAATAAATAATATGATGCAACTCAAAGGTAAATATAAATTAATAATATTATACATAGATTAATGCTAGTTCAATACAATTATACAAGTCATTTATTCATAAACAAAGGGAAATTACTCAACACAAAAGTAAAATCTAAGGTAATAAAACTTCAATAAAAGACACACATAAAATTCATAATTTATGATAATGCTATAGGATGAATAAGAATTGTGCCAATTTTTTCTTGCGTAAACGTGCTAGTAGTATAGCCATCTTCAGCATTGTGATAAACGTCATATAATGTCCTTGATAAGTTGGTGACTCGCAAAAGCAAAGCCTTTGGCACGATTTCTGGCCCAATTATTTCATCGTTAATGTCCTTCCATGCTCCCTCTATGTATGCTTGGAGCCCCCTCTTAGCTTCTTCGATGGAGGTTCCGAATTTATCCATGTAGCAATCTATTGAAGACGAAACATGGTTTCTTTTCTTCTCGAACTATAAAAACATCAATAAAAATGAAAAATATTGAGATTTAGAGCATTTGATTATAACACCTATGATCATTGAAAAGTAATAATTTGCAAGAAATAATTAAAAAAAAAACACTAGGGTAGATAATTCTTTTTGAGGAAGGAAAGATCGATAATTCTAATAATACATATTATACTTAAGAAAGATGATATTACTAATTTTATTTTGGCTAGCAAGATAATAATAAGTCTAAGGGAAACACCACGATATACTCCACCAATTAGAAATTTAGAATATATATAGTCACATGATGACTTTTTTTTTTTCTCACTAGGTAAGGAGAATGTGTCATATCGGACTAGAGCCTTTCATAGGTCCGTACATACCTCATAGCTAGCAATGTCATTCAAGAGCCTGGCGAGTATGCATGAACCTTTTTGAGCCTTTGTTGGCTGGTCGATCCATTCAAAGGCATCCTTATTTGCTATTTCCCCCATGCCTAGGAAAGCGGCAACTATTACGTACAAATAGCCGGCACTTCCAATGGCATTTTCCATGTATTCGTCTAACGTAGGAACAACATTTTGATGACGCCACATAGCTTCAATCAAGTAAGCTTGACATGTAAAGCCCATCTATCAAATTGAATTAGCCATAATTGATCAATGTTCTTATAATAATTTCTCAAAATTAAACAAAGTATATATTATAGATAAGCTTTAGTATGTACTTGTTTTTGGAGATGATAAACACCATATGATCGTTGCTCCAAAGCTAAATTTTGCTCAATTTCATCAAACATGTCTAAGATAATTTGATAAAATACTCTCAAGTAGCTCGGAAATTGGTCGATGCAAGTTTTGTCCCACCTAATATTTCACGAAGTCAAAATCAAAATTTCTAATTAGTTCAATAATTAGGTTTAAAAAATATTTAGGTTCATTTAGTACATATATTCATGTGTAACGAACCTTTGAATTGCTTCTGTGAAGGGTTTTAACTCTTCAATAGTTCCATAAGAGTCATAGATATCATCTACAATAGATATAATCTTGAACAATTTTGTTAACAACATCCTCGCATACGAGTACTTAGGTTCGTAGTATTCGCCCAAAATCCAGAAGTGAACCTCTACCAATCGATGTCGTACAAAAGGTAATTTTTTTTCCAAATCCAGACTTCTCCACCATCTACACGTTTTAATCATAAACCATAGTTTAGAACATTCAAATTAAAGTATATATCTAAATTAATTAAGTTATCTCAAATAATTACCTGGTAAGCTCTCTAAGTTCGATGTTGTGCAATATTTGAAGCAAGTTAAAATCTAACTTTGCAAATTTAAGCAAAGTTTGATTGTTGCAAGACTTTGACTCATAAAATGAGATTTGATACCACGATTCTAGTCTTGTAGTACGTCGATGGAGGGGTAGTTTCAAGGCATGGGCTACTTGTTCGGCCATGGGAGAGCTTAATTGTGTAGCAAATGAGATTAGATGAGTAGTAGCAAATGTACGGGCTTCGTCGAGTATTTTCTCACCATGTACATCTAGATATGATGCTTCATACAAGCTCAATAAGCCTTGAACATCACTTGCTAGACAATCCTTAAAGCTTTTGTCCTCACATTTGAAGTTTTCAAATACATCTGGTTTAGTACATAAAAATAATGAATTAATAATCTTCAAATGTTAATAAATTTAACACATAAAACTATGCAAGCACGATCTTATGGTGATGAAGATGGTGTCATACCACATGAAACATTGAAGCCATGTTGTCGTAAAAGACGAAAGCGTAGTGAAACATAGTGAAGATCATCCTCATAGCAACCATCAGCATAAAACTTGTCATAGAATTTTTGAAAGATGTCTTCAATTTCATCTTCAAAGTGATATGCTACTCCAAGTCGAATTATATCATCTATAAATACAAGCCTTTCTTTTGTGTCCTTGTCAATGACCAAAAGTTCTTGACGCACTAGCTCTTTAAGTGCTACAGCCTCTTGCTCCATTTGTCCTTGGGTAACCTAAGCCAATAGCCAAAGAGAAAAAGGTAGAACATATTTTAACTTATGGACGATTTCTTCAGACCGTATCCTTTCACCTTTTAAGGCTATGTAAAAAGTATTTGCTTATTTTTACACAAATAATTAAGTTAGATCTAACCAAACTTGATTAGATCGAATTTTTATAATTGGAAAGTTTTTAATAGTCTTTAAGGTTACAAATTTGTATTCAAATAAAATTAAAATTCAGTTAAATATTAAAATTAGATCTAATCACACTAAATCAGGTAAACAAAACATACCCTAAAATAAAGACAACAAACCAAAAAAATTACTCCCTTAATTACCAAATTTGTCATATGGCTTCAATATGAAACCCCTTTTGGATTTGTAAAGTAGAATATCTTGATTAATAATAATAAGTACGTCCCAAACTTAATATTTACGAGAAATAAGTACGTCCCAAACTTTTGTCAGCCTTAGACTGCGTCTTCATATGCATCTATTGGCCATTCCTCATCAGATTCTCTAAACGTGATATTCAATTACATTGCCTTAATAGAAGAAAGATCTGGTAATAATAGGACTTGGATCTCAAGTAAGTAGGCGTTCTCGAGGTCTTTTCTCTAGCACCTTCCTGCTTTTCTTATCCCGAACACCTTCCCCTTCTAACCTAGGAGAACTACTGAAAGCCTTCGTACTTAGTTCCTTTACTCCGACTGAACTAATGCAAACTTACCGATGTTCTTTCAAGGGGGGTGGGGAAGAAGAATATGGATTACTTGAACCTTTTGATGCATAAGATGGAGAGCTGTGAGCAGGGCCCTATTGAGACCTTTTACAAGATCGAATGGAGGGGGCCAAGATAAGATATGTAGTTCTATTCTGGAATCCAAACAAAGAAAGTAACTAAATAGGCATCAAGCCGTTCAGATGAGACCCGAAGAACAGGAAGAATAAATAGCAAAGGGAATCCCCGACTTCCTAGAATCACAAGGTAGCATAGCCCGTTAAGTGAAGTAGTGCGCGAAAAGGAATGATTTGATAAAGCAGTAGCCGGCTCGGGGGTAGGAAAAGGTAGGTCAGTCTAGAGCCAGACGACTCGTGAAGAGAGAAAGCATCTGCCCCTTCTATTGACTTAGATGAGGAGTTTACTATTCTACTGAGAAGGTTTTCACATATTTGACTCGGTCAGGAGAAAAGATACAAAAATATGATTTGGATGAATCTTATTTCAATCCCTATTTGACAGAAAAGGATGTCTGTCAGAGTGTAATCTCTAGCCAAAGGCTAGACAAGTTCTTTAGTCTGGAGGTACCGGAGGACATTAAAAATGACAAACGAAGACTTAAAGTCTGGAATGCTAACGTCTCGCGTTTTAAATAGCACTACTATAGCTATTGTCATTTTGTATGCGGCGAGAATCTTTGTTGGAATTCCCATCAAGAAAGGTGGTAGAGCTTTGAGAGAAAGCTCACTGGAAAGTATTGTTTACACCATTAATGAGATATTTTATCAACAAAGCTTATTCAACAACGGCGGAAAGCAGACAAAAAGAAGCTTTCGTCTTATTGAATCATATTATTTCCCGGGTTGACCGATCTAAATGCCAACACCCCCATCCAGGGCTAATCATAGCCTCTCATACCTTCAAAGAGCCATACTTCGCTTTTAGCGATTTTGATCAACTCAGTCTGGCTATCATGGATCTCTTACTCCGGGGTGCTTACCCTTACTTATCGGGTTCGAATTACGCTAAGTTCAATGTTTTATTTACAATGTTTACCTCCGGCGAACACCTACCACCTTTGCGGCTGGTCGTGCTATCGCCTTGACTTAACTTATGAAGATGGAAAGTGAATTCCAAAGAGTGAGATATATGCTCTTTTAAATGAACGAATAATCGATTTGATCGAAAAATACGAAGGATATTTGGTTATTGGAGTCACAGTCCGAGTCTTTTTGGAGACTAAATTAAAGGAGGCGCAGTACCTCTCTGCCGAGGTTAGGGAAAAGATCCTTATCGAATTCTTAAAGGTTCGATATTA